ATGCTTAACCCTCATCACAACCCTATGAGGTTGGTGTTATCATTATTCCCATTTTACGGGATTACCATGTCTAATCATAAACAACATTCATAGAGAATGGGACTTCTAGTTTCTGGGAACAGTTATTCAGATTAACTCTCAAACAACAAGGAATGCTGGGGGAAAAAAAAAAAAGGATTACAAACCATCTAAAAAGCCACAACATGCTAATGAGAGTAAAGAATTAACAGGGTAATTAAAAAGAACCCTGATTGTGGTACAATAGTGAATAATTGCTCTCAGGACTGACTGTGAGGGTTGGAAATATAAAGGTAGATATTTTGTAGTAAAGGGAAGGGAGTGGTTGACTTTGCAGCCCAGGAGCGGAGGTCTCTGGGAGAAGAGTGGAGCGTGGGAACCTACCCAGAGAAACACGGATGCCAAAGATGGAGGCAGAGATGATGATGTGGAGAGATGGAGCAGCTGGGGACTCTAGACCTAGAGAGGGAGAGGGGCTGTGTGCTGATGACCGGTGGGCAGGCTTGCAGGTTGTTTGATGATGCATGGAAGGGATAGTAATCATGGCAATGAAACGATATACGATAGGATGAATGTAAAGCTAATGTTCTCCCATGTTAACTATCCCATAACTCACAATAAAAACTTAAAAAAAAAAAAAAAACTTGTAAGAGAGTCCAGCAAGGAAGTCATTTTCGCCTGTCGAATATTTGCCAATTCTGGCATATTTGAACTTGAGTTTGAATGGTTTTGTGGAGAAAGGGATGTGGGGGATCAAAAATCAAAGTCCAGGGCCCACAGTAGGTAGAAGACCCTCCCTACAATAGTCTGGCGCCCACTGGCCTCCAAAGAGGTGTCAAGTGTTTAACAAAGAGTTCTGGACCAAGAAGGGAAAAGAGGGTCCTCATCATTTATTGTATGTGCCAGTTACCATAGTGTAATGACTTTCACCATGGCTGAGTTCAAGCTAAGCACACATGGGCTGCAACGCAATGCCGACTCCACCTGCGGGCTGTCGTAAGCAAACTTGTCAGATACACCCTGCAGCCTGAATTTCCATCGCCCTGAACTCACACTGAGGTGGTCCTACACCATCAGTTCCCTCCGGAGCCTGGCAAAAGCAAATGTAAATCATCTCTAGAGGAAAGTTAACTTCATCCGATGCCTCAAATAATCCCTATAAATCAAAGCTTAAAATGTAGTGTCTGGCATGGTCAAGGAGAAGCAGACATACCATAAGGAAATATGATTCCATGAGCAAGAACTAGCAGAAACAGATCCTCAGATACTTCAGGTTTTAGAATGATCAGACCCAGACTATAAAACAACCATGCTTTGTTGAAGAAAATAAAGGAGTCTTAAAAATATCTGCAGGGAACAGGAAACTATAAAAAAGTGACATATTAGATTTGTAAAGAACGTTTGTAGAGAGCTTTACGGTATAATCAGGGATCAAAAACACAAATAGCTTCAGGGGCCAGACAGGTAATACAAATGAGTGAGGTCATTGGGTGAGCAGTTTGATCAACTAGAGAGCGTTGTTCAAAGGGCATGGTGGCCCCTTGGATCCAGAGGAAAGTGAATCCGTGGGGCCCAGTGGTGCCAGATGTACTGCTATCTCTAAATTCACTAGGTATTTGTTTTTGTTTTTGTTTTTTTTTTGTAAAATACAAATAACATACAGCTGACCATTTCAAAGTCGCATCATAATGTTGTACAGCTCTCTAGGTCCAGCACTTTTTCATCACCCCAAAGGAAGCTCCATACCACTTAGCAGTCACTATAGGCTTTCTTAATAAAAGCAACAACCTAAAATGATTACAGGGGGAAGGGGAGGGAAAATTAGTCACTACCTAGAGGTTGTTGTTGAGTGCCGTCGAGTCGATTCTGACCCATAGCAACCCTGTATAGGGTTTCCAAGGAGTGGCTGGTGAGCTTGAACCGCCGACCTTGCAGTTCAAATGGCTTTGCAGTCTGACACATTAGCGCATAGCACCACACCAGGTAGACACATGTTAAACATGGGTTGCAGGGCAGGCAATATACAACAAAAGAGAGGTTAGCAGAGGAAAGATAAAGATAGTGAGAGACAGAGGAATGCAGTAAAGTGAACAGAGGTAAATACTATTAACTGTTGGTACATGGAAGGGATTGCAGTCATTGCAATGAAGCAAAGAATACAATTTGTTGTATGTAAAACTGGTCTGCTCTGTGAACCTTCACTCAATTTGCAATAAAGAGTTTTAAAAAGAAAAAGAAAATAAACACAGAAAAACAAATCATACTGTATTTTTCCTCTGGTGTCGGACTTCTTTCACGGTTCTGGCATTGTGTTTTAAAGATTCATCCAATGTCTTGGCTGTGTTCTCTAGAGAGCCAAAGTCAGTAGCTTATCTACGTATATATACAGAGAGGTTTATATCAAGGAAATGGCTCACACAATTGTAGAAGGCAGGTTCCAAGTTGTGGTTTGGATGTCAGGCTGGAGACTTCTCCTGACTCATGGAGCTGTAGAAGCGGATGAACCCAAGATTGGCAGGTAGGACTGCATGCTTCTGGTTGCAGAGGAGAATGGATTCAAGATTAGCAATTAAGACGGTTGGCTGCTGATGACTCCAAGGATCACTAGGCAATACGGCAGGCCACTGGCTCAACTCCAAAGAACCAGATGTCAGCTGATAAGCCAGATGCAGGATCTAGACCAATCAAAAAGCAAACCAGCATTTCAACAGCATCCACCCATCTTGGGAGCAGGCCACACCCCTGAGGAAACCTCCTTTCATCTGACAGGCTGCTCATAACAGATATTTTAATCCAAAATAGAAAGGAAGTTACCTTTCTATTTTGGATTAAAATATTTTTTAAAATCATGGAGGTGATTTCATTATATTATAAGAGCTCCTCATGGCAGAGTATTAGTCTTAACTGACAAACCACTGAGAATGCTGGCCCAATCCAGTTGACACAAAAACTTAACTATCCCATCCCATGAGAGCATACATCTGTATGTCTTTTATTTTATGGCTGAATAATATTCTCTTGGGTGCATATGCTACATTTTGTTTGTCTGCTAATCAACAGATACTTGTTTCTTTGACATGTTACCTTTCTGTTTTGTATTAAAATATTTGTTAAAAGTTCTGCGTGGCCCAAAGTACACATCTGCTGGCTAGATCCACTCAGACATCTGTTTTGAGGCCTTTCATTACAGATTTTCTTATATTTTCCTTTGGATAATTCTCTGAAGCAAGTGCTTTTCTTCTTTTAAAATTGATGTCTATTGTGCTAAAAACACATATAACACATTTGCCAATTCGACAATTGTTACAACCTAGTGACATTGATTACTTTCACCGTATTGTACAACTGCCATCACTATCTGTCTCCAGACTCTTCCACCACCATTATCCCCTGAGCAATGACTTTCCCTCTTCCCTTCTTTGTACTCCGTTTGGTCTCTAAATAGTTGCCTATTTCATAGAATATTTATCCTTTTGTGGCTGACTTCTTTCACTCAACCTAATGTTTCATGGTGCATCCGTGGTGTTGTATATATTAGGACTTCATGTCTCTTATGGCTGCTTAATATTCCATGTATGTGTGTGCATTACATTGTTCATCCCATCATCTTCTGATGAACCTTTTGGCTACTGTGAAAAATGCTGCAATGAACATTGGTGTGCATGTTTCTGTTTTGAGTCCATTCTTTTGGGATTTCTGGGCTACTGAGGTAACTGCTCTAGCCTTCATTTTTCATATTAGTAATTTGAAATTCAGAAAAGTAAAATGGCATGCCCAGAGCAAAAACCAACTCCACAGTCCCGTGGCAATGTAGCTCTTCTCCCTAAACAACCCTAATCTCCATGGCAAATCGCTTGGGATTAAAAAGAATGAGCGCTGGAGCCACAGGTAATGTCTATGACCTTGGATGGAACTTCTTTGCGACTCAGTTTCCCCATCTGGCAACGGTCTAGTGTTGGAATTGCTGAGGGTGGCCCTCTCGCTTTTTCCCAGCATCCATGGAGCATGATAGGCGCTGGCCAAATCTAAATAGCTGCTGCCAAACGCAAAGACGGGGTCACCTTGGCTGTCCTGATCATCACAGAGTCCTCTACAGAACTGTCCTGAGTAGTAACCGGGAGGAAACCGCCCTCAAAAGCCCTCACCGGGGGCTGGCCCATCCATTTCAGCTTCCTGGAGCCTGGTACTTGTTAGGGGCGACACCAACGGGTTCAGTCCTGAATAGGGGTCATCTGACAGGCACGCCAGCCACCCAGCAAGGACACCTGATCTTCAGGTGGGAGGGAAGATCCCCTGTAAAAAGACCATGTGCTGGTCAATTTAATAAACGAGGTCATTTGTTTCTTCGGGTCTGCCCTGCCACAGGCCACTTTCCTTTGATCTCAGTTTCCAGAAAGGACGCAGCGAAAGGCGAACAAGTTGAGCTGAGGAAGAGGGCGGGCAGCGTTCCGTATGCCTCAACTCTCTCCAAGAGCAACTTGCGTCCCGAATCGCAGCCTTCAACTCTGAGAAGTCAAGTGCCCCACAAGAAACTTGCATTATTGCAACGGTTGCAACGAATCTGAGCCGGAGACAAGTCACCAAGCTGGCTTCCAGGGAAAGCGCGCCCTGCTCAGCCGGCTCGGCCTCCCCGGGCGCCCCCGGGCACCTGCGGCCTCCTAGTACGCATCCGCGCGCTCAGCCCCAACAACCCACTCCACGTGCCCTCCGGTCCGAGGGGGCCGGGGTCGCGGTGCACCCCTCGCCGCCCTGGCCTGGAGTTCCTGGCGCTGTCCCCGAGCGGGGGCCAGGGTCGCGACGCACAACTAGAGCCTGGGGCGCTGCCGGCCCCGGAGGCCGCACTGGCGGCGGCGGCGCTGCTCCCCCGCTCGGTGCAGCTGCCGTCCGGCGCTTGCGCACTGGGCCCAGCGCGCGGCGGCACAGGCTTTGTGTGTGTATGTGTGTGTGAGTGTGTGAGTGCGTGTGTGAGTGTCTGTGTGAGTGAGCCGAGAGCGAGCGAGTGTGGCCGCCGCGGAGCGGGAGCAGGACCCGGCGGCGCGGCCCCAGTCTCCGTCTCCGCCAGCACCATGTCGGGCAGGTCGGTTCGAGCCGAAACCAGGAGCCGGGCCAAAGATGATATCAAGAGGGTCATGGCGGCTATCGAGAAAGTGCGCAAATGGTGAGCAGAGGCGCCTCTTTGCCGGGTGCCGCGGCCGCACAAATCCCGGACGCCCGGTCCCCGCGTGCCCGCCCGCGCCCCTCGCCCTCCCGTGGGCCCGGAGTTGGCGCGGGCGGGCCGGGTCACCTGCGCCAGCGGGGGCCACGGCCGTTGCCCAGGTGCGCTCACCCGGCGCCCACCTGGCGCGGTGGCGGCGGTGGCCCGGAGGCAGCGGGCGCATGGGGCGGCGGGACCCGCGGCGGCCCCGGCACGGCGTGCGGCCGGGAGGGGACTCGGGGCCGGCCCAGAAGCCATTTCGTTTTGTGCAAGTCACATGAAAGCGGCTTCCCGCGCGCCGGGCCGTGATGCCGGCGGAGCGGAGAGCGCGAGCTCCATTGTGCAGCCTCCGAGCGGGCCGCGTCTCCTCCCCGCGCGCCCCGGGCGGCGAGCGCTGGGCCGGCCCGGCGCCCTGCGCGCCGGCCTCCGCCGCCTCTCGCACCCACCTCCCAGGCCCAGCGTCCTCGAGTCTTCGGAGTTTGCAGAGCGCCGGCCGTTTAAATTTAGCGCTTTGGGCTGCCTGGAGAGAGGGCTCTTGGCGAGGAAGAAAGATGGGGGCGAGTGCCGGGAGGAAGCGCTGGCCGCGGGACGACCCAGGTGCCGGACGTCCACTCCCACCGCCTACCCACACTGGGAGCGGGGCTCGGGTCCGACAGGCAGCGAATCGGGGGGCAGAAATCGCTCCTGAGCCGCGCCTGCCTTTCCAGAAACAAGCTTGTGTTTTGTAAAGAGAGCTCTTGTTTTTGTTCTCTGCGTGGGGGCGGGGGAGGGTGTTAAGAGGTATATTTAGGGGTCGGGGTGAGAGGTTTTCAAGCTCAAATGCGCTCCTGGCTGGCGTGGCCTCCTAATCCGTGCGTCTGGAGCCCTCCCTGGCCTCCGCGGGTCTCAGTCGGATCCGCCCCAGGCCAGGCCCGAGGATGAGCAGATTCCGGTCGGGGCAGACTTTTGGAGAACTCCGGGCTCCCGGGTTTCAACTTTATAATTTTTTTTTTCCCACGGCTTCACCAGGGTCCCAGAGAGAGAGGAGCTGCGGACACGCTGTCCACGAGTGTCAGCGCCCACGGGCTTGTCCTGCTCCTTTATTTAAAGCCCTAAAGCTGAGCAGGCCCCGTGGCAGGGCATCTTTATGTTTCAGGGTATCATTTCTGGAGTTGCTCCTTCGTCTCTAAAAACCACGGGGGACATGGGAGGGGTGCGAGCCTGTGAGTCCAGCGGTGTCACAAGTTCGCTGTCCTTTCTGAGTCAAACCCAACAATAAAAAAAAAAAGCCAGAGGAAAATCAATAAAGTCCACGTGCTCCAGGGCCTCCTATGGAAAGAGCTGTCTGCGGATGGCCGGATGCCCGGCCGTGGGCTGGGTTTGGCTCCAACGGGACAAAGAATTTTCAGAACCGTGAGAAGGGAGCCTTTTCAAAGTTGAGAACCGAGTCGCCAGTGCCTCTAGAGCGCCCCTAGCCTATGGGGGGCGCCCAGTGGCCGGAATGAAGCCATTTAAAAATGGCAGAAACAGCTGCAGGCTAAATACACACATGCGAAACCCAGCCTTTCTGGAAACCCCCTCTCCTGTGGAATTCTCAGGTGGGAAGGCAGAGTTGTCCCCGTGCACCAAAAGAACTGGTGTCTAGGCCTGAGCGCCTGTAACCACTCCAGGGGCTAGGACACAGTCGGCCTCTCTCTGCTTTGAGCTTGGGAGGCGTGGTTGTGCTCCTGCTGCAGAGGGGAAGCCTGGCTAAGGCCCCCACACCCTGACAGCTGCTCCTGCAGGCCCACCAGCTGCTCCCCACAGAGGGCAGATGGAGAGCTGGGCTTTCCACCCCCCAACGGGCCCCAGAGCCAGCCTGCCCGGAGGTCTGCACAGGACAGACAGCTTGGCTTGGGTTTGGGTGGGGAAGGTTTCCTTCCCTCCTTTAAAGGCCTCAGGCCGCTCCTTTGCTTTGACCTTGCCTTACAACTTCTCTAAATCCAAATCTAAATCCATTGCCAATGAGTTAATTCTGACTCTTTAGCAACTGTGTGGGGCAGAATAGAACTGCTCCATAGGGTTCCTGAGGCTGTAAATGTTTACGGAAGCAGACTGTCAGATCTTTCTCCCTCAGAGCCTCTGGTGGGTTTGAACCACTGATCCTTAGGTTAGCAGTCCAATGCTTAGCCCACAGTGCCACCAGGCCTCCTAGAACTTCTCAAAAAGAGGGTAGTAAATGAAGACAGAATTCACTCAAGTCTCCATTTTCCCTCGCACCTCTAACGCTGTGCGCCATAAGGGTCTTAACTGGCTGATGTTTGGGCAGTAGATGGCCAGTCCTTCTGAATCATCTTTGGGTAGACTTGAACTTACAACATTTGGGTTATGAATCAAGCCTGTTGGTTATTTTCACCACCCAATTTGGAGTCCTGGTGTGGCGCTGTGGATTAATGCGCCAGACTGCAAAGCCGTTTGAACTGCAAGGTTGGCGGTTCAATTTCATCAGCTGCTCCTTGGAAACCCTATACAGGGTCGCTATGGGTCGGAACCAACTCCACGGCACTTAACAACATCAACAACAACAATGTTGATAGTTGTCCTTGAGCTGATTCTGACTCCGGGCAGTGCAGTGTGCAGAGTTGAACTGTTCTGTACGTTTTTCAAGGTTGGGACATTTTGGAAGCACATCACCGGGCCTATTTGATGAGATGTTTCCGGGTGAGTTGTATCCACCAACCTTTCACATAGGAGTAGAAATACTCATTAACTGGTGTTGTTAAGTAAGCTAAACAGAAGTCTTGCTGATGTATATTTTTTACCCTTCTAACCAACAAACAAAAAATTATATATGTTTGTGTGTATATATATATATTAGACTGATTTCCTGGGTTTAATAGCTGTGTCTCCCCTAAACTGTGCTTCTAGAATGGGCCTTCCAATCAGCAGTTGAAATTTTGGGTTGTTTATTAACTGTGTGGCGGTGAACCATGCATTTCACCATGTCTGGGACTTTGGGCTGCCAAATTTAGCAAGTAAAAATACAGGCCGCCCAGTTACATTTGAATTTCAGATCAACTTTATTTTTTTTAAGTCAAAGTATGTCCCATGCAGTATTTGGGGCATACTTATGCTTAAAAAAAAAAAAAAGTCATCCATTGTTGATCTGGAATTCAAATTTACCTATATGTTCTATGTTTTAACTAGAGAATGGAAGATAACTGAGAAGAAATCTCACCCTTGATTTATGGGTTTGGGTGGGATTTCTCCTCAGTCTCAGTGACCCCTATGACCGCCAACTCCTGGAAGAAGTCCGCAGTCGTGTCCTCCTCTGCGGACTTGTGGGCCATTCCCTTTTTTGTCTGGCGCCCCAGCAAAGTCAGTGGTGGCCATGAGGCAGTCAGAAAATGGCGGAAGGAAAAACAAAATGGTGGTCAGCCCACAACCTCCTTTTGGGAAACTAGGCCAGGATTCTGAGTTGTTTGACAGGAGGCAAAGGCTCCACCTTAGGCCCGGGACCCCCAGGCACTAGATCTGATGGTCCCTCAGGGACCTGCTGTGAGGACAAAGGCCTTCCCCCAAACAACTTCCCAGCTGTCCCTGGGAGAGGAGAGATTTGATCGAGCCTTGGGCCTCACCTGAGTTCTTTGGATTCTAGTCAAAGGGACGCCCCTGCCAGGCCGAGGGAGGTCAAGCAGGCTTGGGCTTAGTTGGTTTGAGGTGAGCCACAGATCAGGCCTTGTTAGGGGACAAGGACGAGCCCTGGAGGTGACTTAGAACTGAGGGAGTAAATCAGCAGGGTCATTTGAGGTGGTGCTACGGGATAAGCACTGGACTGCTGCTAACAGCAAGGTCAGCAGTTCAAAGCCACCAGCTGATCCTTGGAAACAACAACTTGGAGAAAGGGGGCGGCGGTACCAAAATGGTCTCCCTGGCTAGCCCTTGGACCTGATGTTGGAAACTGGTCTTGTCTGGAAAATCCGGGAAGGGTTTGTGTAGCTTGTATAGGAGTCCGTGCTGGAGGAGTTTTGGGTGCATGCAGTTTATATTGGAGCCCATGTTGGGGAGGAGCTTTGGGCCTGTATTCCTGTAGCTAGGCCCTCATTTAGTCTCTTGTCTCAGGAGCTCGAGTCTAATGGGGGAAGAGAGAGGTAATAATGTCTGGTGGGCTGCGAGGCCCCTTTGGGGGAAGGGGGCAAGGCTCCCCCGGGGGGCAGTTTTATGGGAAGTTGGTAAGGCTGATTGCAGCCTGGTGGGGAGGAATCTGGCTCTATGCCAGGGGCCCACCCCATGCTCTCAGTGGGGGATCTAAGGGAGCTGCAGGCGCTACCTCAGGGACTATCTTTCCCTGAGCATTAGGTCAGATCTGTGAACTTTTCAAGAGAAGCCAGGAATGTGGATTTTTATGTGGAGTCTGATTTTTTTTTTTTTTTAATTGTCAACAATTCTGCTATTTTAAAAAGTTCTGTTCAAGTTTAAAAGAAAAACAAAACAAAAAGTGACTGTGGACTGCTTATTTAGCCTGTGGTGTGAGGTCACGCTCTCCTGCCTGGGTTTGGGGGTAGTGGGAAACCTCAGCTGCTCCACTGGGTCCCCGTGGTGTTGCCTGGCACTATGCCAGGCACGCTGAGCGCCCTTAGCTGCCCCCCTCTCGGGCAGGGACTTGCACTTGAGCCCCACGGCCCCCCCACATCTCTCAGGGTGGCTACTGGCCAGGCTTGGTCTAGAGCTCAGGTCCAGAGCCACCTCACTACCAGCATTTGGAAATGCAGATTAAAAAATGGTTTTTAATCTCTGGGTGACTTTGGGCACTGTGCAGGAGGGGTTGCCAACTAAGACAAAGGGAGAGCCTGGCTTTGTCCCCCACTGCCCTGCAGTGGCCTAAAAACTCCCTGGACACCCATGGAAGCTGAAAACATTAACCCAGGTCCACACATAGCCCAAGAAACCCGGCTCTCAAGCACACTTCCTACCCTGAGAGGTGTCCTGTGGATTGTAAACCAGTTCCTTTTTTCTCGTGTTTTTTTTTTTTGAAAACAAAATCTACCTTTGACTTAAGGAGCTCTGGTAGCGTAATGGTTACAAATCGGGCTGTGAACCTCAAGGTCAGCAGTTCGAAACTGCCAGCTGTTCTGCGGGAGAAAGATGAGGCCTTCTGCTCCTGTAAAGATTTACAGCCTCGGAAACCCTGTACGGGGTCTCTATGAGATGGAACCGACTCCAGGGTACATAACAACAACAACCTTTGACTTACTGTGACGTAGCCTGTTGACATGTTGACAGGGCTTCTGACTGTGGCCATTTTGGAATTCTAACAATTTCTGCTCTGTCCAGCTTCCCGTCGCTAATTGTTCTGTGGAATGGGTTCTTAGTTGTCATAGGAGACAGAATAGTCTGATAGTATCAAAGGTGGATGTTGGCACAGTCCAACAGTCTGGTTCTGCTCCTGGTTCTGCCACTTCTGGCTGTGTGAGCACACGCATGTGGCCCGACCTCTCTGGGCCTCTCATTACTCTAGATGTAACCTGGCTAACAGAGTGTTGGTAACCTCTGTGGAAGGGTGTGTGGGGATTACATGGAAACGAAGCATTGGTGCAAACCCTGCCCCTGGTCGGAGGTGGCTTTACTGGTCAGTGAGGCTGTTACTAGAAGGTGCTTGTCCTTTGATGATTCGAAGTGGCAATGGTGAGAGATGTCTTGGAGGTAGAAGCCACACTAATGGGGAGGGAGGCGGGGAAAGGCTGCTTCTAAAAGCAGTGCAGCACCAAGGATTTGAATACTGATTTGAGAAAATTTCACTTCCCTGTGCCTCAGTTTCTCTTGATGTCCAACCAAGAAAATGACTCGTCCACTTCCTGTCAAGCAAGATGATGTCAACAGTAGAGGATATGCATACACAGGGCTTATGGAGTTCCTGTGTGTGCAAACAGTTAAGTGCTCGCTACTAACCAAAAGTTTGGAGGTTTGAGTTCCCTCAGAGATGCCTCGCAAGAAAGGCCTGGCTGTATGTTTCCAAAAGATTGCAGCCGTTGAAAAGGGGCCCAGTTCTATCTAACCGGAAACACATGAGGTTGTCATGAGTTGAAGTCTACTCAACAGCATCAGGTCTGTGGTGTCTTGTTTGTGTACAGAGCTCAGAAATGGTCATTGTTGTCGTCACATTGATACCTGGCTCATAGGGGTCCCTGTGACTGGAGGGTTTTCTAAGCTCTCATCTCTCCAGGAGCAGATCACCAGGTCTTTATGTTGAATTGCTGCTTCGGGGCTTCAAACCATCCACAAGGGCTCCTGTTGAGATGATATGCCTCCTATCATAAGAAAAGCCAGGCCCTAGCTTCCTCCACCTGGACGGTGTAGGTACCTGAGTGGGCAGAGGAGGTTTTTTAGGGGGGAGGTGTCTGTGGTTGGGGTTGGCTGATTTTGAGTAGTGTGTTTGTGCACCTTGAACCCTCTGTGGTAAAAGGGTGTGAGAACCACACACCACAGAGAGCGAGCCATGATCGAGGCCAGAGGAAGTTCCACATAGCCCTCAAGTTGGGGTGCCAGAGGCGCAGGTGTCATAGAATTTGCTGAGGTCCCTCTGCCAGGTGTGTGTCCATTGTGGGACCCTCTAGTTGACATGTTTCCCCAACAAGCCAGCCATAGGTAACTGGTGACCTCCCACGACACCTGAGGCTTCAGGGTCTCATGAAGAACATAGCTTTCTTTCCAAGTGGGAGATGGACCTGCTAGAGTATCTGGCAGGAAGTGACCTGCCTTGGAGATGGATCAAGGACCGAAGTTTGGCTCAGACACAGTCACCTGGAGCGGGAATAGAGGTGTCATCATTTCTTGTTCCCCACAGCTGTAAGTCTTCTCTAAACCTGCCTGGAGCGGTGGGTGGGGCCGCCTGCAGAAAGGAGCCAGTGAGCCAGTGGCAGGGACATGGATTGTCCTGCCGCCCAGGTCTCAGCAGGCTGTCCTTCCCTTTCACAGTTACTCAGTGGGCACTGAAACCACTGAGCACCCAGCTCAAACCCCACCTTGTGCCCGCTATGGCTGCCTTAAGGGAGGCTTGCCCAGGAGAGCTGGTGGTCACAGACGCTCATCTGCTCCAGCTTCTCCTCACCTGACCTCAGGAGCCTGGCCGGGAGGACAGGACAAGCTGCTGTGTGGCCTTGTTGGGGAACCTCCACACTCAGCTCAGATGTCCTGGGACACAGGGTGGCTCCAAGCAGCTGTTGGTGAGCAGGTTGAGGCCCCTGGCCCGAATTGTCTTCATCCACAGAAATGATCACTGTGGCAGATCCCTTGGGTGCTGTGGGTGCATCTTCACATGACTTGCTTATGGCCTCACGATGCAGGCCACGTTGTTGTAGTTTAACAGATGGGGAAACTGAGGCATATGTTGGTGATTCAACTTGTGAGAGGGTTCCCAGCTCATAAGCGGCAGAACTGGGGTTCAAACCTACCCCGTGTGGTTCTGGAGCAGGCTCCTGACCTGGACCAGCCACCCACATCACAGCTGTCCCAAGGGAGTGTGGCCTGTGCCCCTCACCCCACCCCATAATGGGCTCTTCCTTGTCCTCCACAGGGAGAAGAAGTGGGTGACGGTGGGTGATACATCCCTACGAATCTACAAGTGGGTCCCTGTGACGGAGCCCAAGGTTGATGAGGTGAGTGTGTGGGTGGCCCCTGTGTGTGGGGGGGTTCTCTGCCTGTCACCATGGGACCCTGGAACTGGAGCCAGCTGGGAAGCAGAAGAACCTAAGTTAGGGTCCCCCACCCATGTCCTCAGTACATCCAGTGAGTTTGACTGGGAGAGGTGGGTAGTGAGGTCTCTTCTGGACTGAGCAGCTTTCAGTTTGCCAGTAGGAATCACTCGTAGTACAGAGATGTCTCCCCCCAGTCCCAGGTTTTGGGGAAGCATGGTGGTCCCCTTCCCCGTCCTTGTAGCTCCCATCCTAGACAGCACCATTTTTAGTGACCTTGTTGAATTTATTCCTGCATTATCTCACATGCTCATAATCGAGTCTTAGCAAATGGGAAACAGGCTCAGAGAGGTAAAGCCGTTCCCCAGAGGTACACAGTGAGGGTCAGAGCCGAGCTCAGGCTGTCCAGCTCCATAACACATGCATTTTCAGCCTCTGTTAGTGGGAGCTACTGGTGATGGGATGGCCCCTGGAGTGAAGGTCCTATAGGGATCCCAGACTGCTATGGGCTTAAGGCGCCCCAGGAGGGCTGGTTTCATCCTGACCATGACCACTAGAGGGAGCTCCACTAGTTTACTGGCGGCCACACATTACAGGTTTTCAATCTCGTGGGGCCAATCCTGTGACTCGAAAACATGCCAAGTCAGCTCCTCTCATTTTCGGTCAAACCCCAGAGCAGTCCTACCCAGAACTAGCCCTCCTCTGTAGACTGCCTTTCCCATTCACCCAGACTGAGTCTACACGGCTCTAGTCACCAGCTGTGGTCAGTGTAGTCATGAACAGTGGGTATCCTGGACACTAGGGATTGTCTTCCTCCCTTTCTCCTGTGCCCTGCCCCACGAGTGTGCTCACAACTGGATGTTTCTTGCTCCTTATGGTCTAGCCCAGCCTCATAGAAGCTGCTCTCTGAGGTCTTGGCCCCATCCCCGCTTGTGGGCTCTTTCGAAGGCGCGTCTGACTCCTGCCCATTGCTGCGCTTTGCACATGATTAGGTGCCGCATGAAAGCGCATTCATTTGGGAAGATGTGGGCCCTGCTCTCAAGGAATTTATAATCTCGTTGAGGGAAGATAATTATAGAATAACATGAAACAGACATCAGGGAAGTGCCAAATGGAATCAAGGACAGGCTGCTTTGGCTAGGCTGAGAGCAGGAATCCAATACAATGGACTACCCCCTGATTAATCTGTGCCCATTGATGGGTGGTCCCACTTTGTCAGTGCTATGGAGATGGAATGTGGGGCTCCTGGGATTTCTGAGAAAGGACAAAGGCAGTGCTGCAGCATCAGAGGTATGCCTTCGCTCTTCCCTGTCTACCACACTCTCTTCCCCATCTCTCTATCCCTGGAGGGTGACAGTTCCCTTCTGAAGCCATGGCGGCTGGGTGAACCCCTAAAACTTGCCCTGAGATAATCTATAAACCTTAAATCAGAAACCTCCCCCCAAAGTCTTCTTAAAACCTAACAATTATATAGCTTAATGGTAAGGAATATCTGCCCTGAGCAGTGTGCTCCATTCAGAACTGTCTATTTAGGATCAAAACGACAACAGCAACTCGGAGAGATTCGAACCTGAGGGAGACAGTGAGTTAGTGTTAACGGGGAGGATGAGAATGGAGAAACTGTTTAATTGGTGTTTTGCTGTGTATATTCTTAAAAATATTTTTTTTAAGTTCACTCTTGTGCTGGACTCAGCATCCCGTCTCCTGGGAATCTTAATAAAATGCATATTCCCAGATCCTGCCCCGAACCTCCGATTCTGAATCTCTGGTCCTTGGCCAGGAACCTGTGATATGCTAGGAGACCTGGTGTGGCGCTGTGGGTTCATGCACTTGACTGCAATGTCAGTTTGAACTGCAAGGTTGGCAGTTGAAGCTCACCAGTCACTACTTGGAAATCCCATACAGGGTCGCTAGGGGTCGGAACTGACTCGATGGCGCATAACAACAACAATGCTATGTTAAGTGCTGTTGAGTCACTTCTGACTCTTAGCGACCTGTGTAGGGTTTCCAAGGAGCCGCTGGTGATTTGAACCACCGACCGTATGGTTCCCAGTCCAGTGCTGACCCTGCAGAGTCACACCCGGCGTCTGTGTTTTAACAAACACACTCCTCCATAACGGGGAGCCCTGCTGTGGTGCTCTAGGGCCAGCAATAGACCAACCGCAAGTCAGCATCGACTCACTGGTGCATAACAACAACAACAACAACAACAACGCTTAATGACACAGATTCCTGGTGTGGCACTGTAGGACCAGCACTTGACTGCAGACCACAAAACCACCAACAGCTCCTTGGAAAGCCTGTACAGGGGCACTATGAGTAGGACTCGAGCACTTAACGACATGGTTAAGCTTTCTGTTTTCAGAACTCTTGAAGACTTCTTTCTTTTAAACAGATAAAACGGGTTATAAAATTCAAATGTTACTTAAAAAACATTTAAATTAATGTAATTCACATACCAGAAAATTCCCCCTTTTATGAGGGTACAATTCCATAATGTTTCATTATAATTCAGTTGTGCAACCCCTCACTGCTGTTAACTTTAGAACCAGTTTCATCACCCCAAAAGAAACCTTGTCCCTGTTTGCAGTCACCCCCTTTTCTCTCCTTTCCCATTCCGCTCCCAGCCCCTGGTGACCAGTTACCTACTTTCTGTCTTCAGGGATGTGTGTACTCCTCAGGTATTACATTTTTTACTGTGCATCTTTGTATGAAAGATGCCTACTTCTACTGTGGGTTCCGTAGTCCATTGCAGTGACCACACAGAATTCAGACACTAGACTCAGTTAGGGGCTTTATTAGAAAAGTGAACAGATAGCAGGGTTAGAAAATGCCCAAGGCACAGTTGTTCCAGTCAGCTGCTGCTCAGTGCCCACAGGACACCCCACCCCACCCCACCATAAGCCTCCGTGGGAAGACACTTGACTGTACCTCCGTGGGTCAGCAAACTTAGCTCCTCAACTTATGTGCCTTGAGATACCCCACTCCACAAGCAAGATCCCTGCCCAAAGTCACTCAACTCTACTTGCCCCTTGGGCTGAGAAACCCACCACTCTGCCTGGTTCTCTGCTTCTTGGTTCTGCTGCTGCTTGGCTGCCACTCTTCCAGTGTCCCAGAATTCTGTCTCTGGGTCGAGGAGGTTCGATCTCAGGGTCCCAAGGACATGATTCACTTCTTTGATGGTAATGAGATTTCCCCTCCTGTTTCTGAGCTGGCTCGTGTTAAACTCATGCTGGAGTTTCACGTTTTTACCATCGCAGTGAACCTGCTAATATCCACAGCTGAATGATGTCATCTCATCAGTATCTTCTCACCTCCCCTTACCTAGTTCCAACAGGACTGATACGTTGTTTGTTTGGTAAGAGTTACAGAGTAACTGCGGCTAGAGGAGTCATCAGATAATTCATCATTATACCACACCCCCGTACCCACTCCTTTCCCCCCTCCCCCCACCCTCCAGTTCCCTTCCTTGGAGGGTAGGCAGTGTTACCTGTTTTTATTTATCCTTCCAGAAAGTGTTCGTGCACATGGGCAGACAGACACAGACAGACAGGCATAGGGATCACAGATAGATAACACACAGACATCACAAGTACATATTTCATCTTTTCCTTTACTGCTAATGGTATTCCAAGGTGCTGTGGCGGTACTGTAGGATAAATAAACCGTGGACTGCTGACTGCAAGGTCAGTAGTTCAAACCCACCAGCTGCTCCGCAGGAGAAAGATGAAGCTTTCAGCTCTTGTGAAGATTTACAGCCTCGGAAATGCTATGCAGAATTGGTATGAGTCAGAATTGATGCAGTGGCAGTGGGTAATGGTATTTTAGTCACCTGTTCTGTGCCTTTCTTTAACGCATCTGGAGATTGTTGTTGTTACGTACCCCTGAGTTGGTTCTGACTCATAGCCACCCTGTACAGGGTTTCCTAGAAGCAACTGGTGGGTTTCAACTGCCAGCTTGTGGTTAGTATTCCAGTGTTTATCTTACAGCACCACACCAGGACTCCACATCTGGAGACAGATGTTTTAATATTTTGGCAGAGCACGCATGTTAGTACAGGAAGAGGTACCTTATTTTTTGGATCTGTTGTATCACATGACATTGAGTCGATAGATGGATAGACTGTAATTTACCTACTGAGCCTTTTACCGATGGACAAGTTAGGTTATTTCCAACTTGAACATTCTATTCTTGCTGTAACAACTAGAACCATTTCCAAAAAGTTAAGGGGCCCCCCTCATCCCTCCCTACTCCCTGGAGTTCCCCTCTGTCTAGTCTTCCTATTAGAAGCTAGAAGTTCACTGTTCACATTGAAAGAAACACAGCCCAGGGATTCGGGGAACCGGGTGATGTGGCTTCTGTGTATCCTTACACAGCTGGCACTGTACCTGCTCCAGGTGACCAGGTGGCCTTTTCCCCAACCCTCTACCTTGGGGAAAAGGAAATTCCCATAGCTAGTGCGTTTGTGCACCTGCCAGGGTGGTTCCCCAAATTGAGTTGGGTCCTCTCCCAGAACAGCCCCTTGCTCCTCTCCTCTGTGGGCCCTTTGACCCCAAAGCAGGTGAGGCTCAAAGCATGACCCTTTTGGGACACACAGACCAAGGCAGCTGCTGGAGGTCCAACGTGAGTCCCTAAACACTGCTCCCAGCTGCTCACACACCCACGGTTCTGTGACTGGGTTTCTGCTTTGTCTTCTTCTGCAGAAAAACAAGAGCAAGAAGAAGGGCAAAGACGAGAAGTGTGGCTCAGAGGTGACCACTCCAGAGAACAGCTCTTCCCCAGGGATGATGGACATGCACGGTGAGCTCCCGTGGGTGCTGGCCAGCGCTGTGTTTGCTCAGCCTTCTTGGCTATGGCTTTGTTGTACTAGCAGGTTGGTTCACATTCCAGACAAGGGGTAGGAGGCCTGGGCAGGACCAGGTCTTACTGCCAAGGAGTAGGTTCAGCTAGCAAGAGTAGGAGCCAAGAAAGTAGCCTGTGCCCAGCCCAAGACCCTCTCCCCACCTGTGGGGAGGTTTCTGAGTGCCCAGGACATTGTGTTTGGTCTAGGTTTTATATTACGAATCGGGCTGTGAACCACAAGGTCAGCAGTTCGAAACTACCAGCTGCTCTGCGGGAGAACGATGAGGCTTTCTGCTTCTGTAAAGATTTACAGCCTCGGAAACCCTGTACAGGGTCGCTGTGGGTCGGAACCGACTCGACGGAACTTAACAACAACATACTTAAAAAAGTTTCTGATACCTTTCTTTATCTTTTCATTCAGTATTTCCATGAACTTTCTGAAGCTGCCTCACTGGCTTCACAGAGCATGTCAACTAGGTGCCTTGGAATTGAGCCTGACCCATGGCGCCCCCTTGTGTATCAGAGTGGAACTGTGCTCCCTAGGGCTGTTTTTATTTATTTATTATTTTTATGTTTTCCAGAAACAGTGTGTTTTTGGTAAAAGTGTACACAGCAAATTCAGTTCCCATTTAACAATTGGTGCCCAAATTGTTCAGACATATTGACTCCCTTTTCACACACTTGTTATTAATTCCTTTCTGTGTGTTTCCGGGGGGGAGGGGGGAAGCTGGTGGCACAGTGGGTTAAGCATTTGGGCTGATAACCACAAGTCGATGGTTCAAATCCACTAGCAGCTCTGTGGGAAAAAGATGAGGCTGTCTGCTCCCTCAAAAATGTAGTCTCTGAAATCCTAAAGAGCAGTTCTCCTCTGTCCTGTGGGGTCACCGTGAGCCAGAATCAATTTGATGACTATAGGTTTTTGGAGATGTTTTGCTTCCACTAATCTCATTTCCCTGTTACCCTCTCCTTTCTTTTTTGCTTTAGTGTAGTATATAGACAATTTAGTCTCATACGGGTGATTGTTTTAATCCATAGAGTTTAATGGCTGCTTTTGGGAACGAAACCAGCTGGCCTTTCTTCCAAGGTGCCTCTGGGTGGACTTGAACTTCCCACCTTTTGGGTGGCAACAGAGTGCAGTAACCATTTGCACCACCCCAGACCTTTTTGTACATTTGCTATATTGTCCGTAACGTATAAGCCGTCGTATTTTCCATTGCCTATTTTGCTGTGGCTGCTGGGAAGTTCCAAACCAGATTTCTGACTCCGCCTTAATTCTTCTCAGCACCTGAGATCTGTCTGTCCACATTAACAGCTGTCCTAGTCCACGTGTGTATCCAGTGACCCACAGACCAAGTCCAGGCCGAGGACATGTTCCAGCCAGTCTGTGGTGGTTCAGACATGGTGGTGTTTATGTTTCTTGTTAAGGAATGACCAGATCCTAAGTGTGCACCTCCACAAACCGGTCACCAGCTGATCACACCAGCACCCAGATCAAGACATAGACGTCCCCAATCTCCAGGGGACCCACTCCTAGTTGTCCCCACCCCCCATGGAAAGTCACCACCTACCTGCCTTCTAAGCTGGCAGATTCAAGCCTGAGGTCTGTTAGACTTGAGGGCATTCCCGATGTCTGTAAACGAGATACTCTACGTTTCTGCTTCCTTTGTGAAAGTAGGCCTGTTAGCCCTGGGCCTCACCTCCAGGCAGCAGCCCACAGCTGTGAGCAGATGTGCCCTGGGTGGAGACGTACTCTCCAGCCTCCCCCTTCTCATTTCTGTCACCTGCCTGGTCGGCTGGCATGAGAGGTGGCAGCTCTTGTTTTTTTCCCTCTCTTGATCCCAATTTCAGTGTCTTTGTCCTTTTGCAATTGTTGTTTGTTTTTTTGCAGTTGTTTTTGTGACATACGGAGTCCCTCTGTGTTATAGAATGGGACTGAGCCATAGGGGTTCCTGGCTGTGAGCTTTAACGGAAGAAAATTGCCAGGTCCTTTCTTCCACAGCACCACTGGATGGGTTTGAATCATCAACCAAAGTAAATAAAAGAGGATTGGTGCTTTGCTTGCATTTTGCATGGCTGCACCCAGGGCTGTGTTGTTCTGGGAAAGGGGGATCAGCAGATGCCCACAGCAGCAGCCCACATGGGCTTGTCTAAATGAACAGCCGGCTTCATGGGCAGGAGTGACCCTTGGTGCTGGACTGGCCTTGGAATAACACACCATCAAGGTTTTGCTGGTGGTTAATCTAGTTTGAAGGAGCTCTGGTAGCGTAGCAGTTACGAATCGGGCTGCTAACCTCGAGATCAGAAGTTCAAAACTATCAGCTGTTCCGCAGGAGAAACATGAGGCTTTCTGCTCCCGTAAAGATTTACAGCCTTGGAAACCCTGTGCAGGGTCACAGTGAGTCAGAACCGACTCCGCGGTACTTAACAACAACAGTCTAGTTTGAGAAGCATCGTGGGAATTCATTTCCAGGTGTGTAACATTTCATGTCCCAGGTATGTGGCCCGGGACATGAGCCATGTCGTGACGTTGCTCAGCTTCCCCACTTCTCTTGGGGGGAGGCAGTGACCCCGATCATGATCAAATCCTAGAGCTGCAGGTGAGGCGTAGGGCAGAGGTCAAGTGTCTTTAAGGTGAGTTGATCGATACATGAGAACAGTTAGGTATGGTTCATATCTAATGTCAATTCATCAGATGTTTGTCTTAGTATATAGTGTACCTTTCTATGCAAGAAAAGTTGTAAAGAATATTCCCAGATACACTAGAACACCTTTGATACAAACATACCCCAGACCAAACCCACTACCACTGAGTCAATTCCCCCAATGGCCCCATAGAACAGAGTAGAACTTCCCCATAGAGTTTCCAAGGCTGTATACATCTCTACGGAAGCAGATGAGGACATCTTTCTCCTGAGGATCAGTTGGTGGATTTGAATTTCTAAACTTTTGGTTAGCAGCTGAGTGTTCTAACCACTGTAGCACTAGAGCTCTTCACATAATAATATAGTAATGATAATAATAATGCTTTGCTTTTGCATCATGAAGCAGTGCCGGGTTGTTATTACAAACCTTTGTATGGTATCTCAGATTTTTCATGCAACAGGCTTTGTAGGTGTAGGTTTGTAATTATGGATTGTACGTAGGCTGTTTGTAACCCAGGGACCGTGCCTGAAGCATGAAGCGAATGACTTAAAACTTGGGAGTTTGTGCCAGGGTGTCCCACCATGTTGATTCTTTCAGAGGGCTCTGAGGGAGTATCTGTTTCTGCCTCTCTCCTAGCTTCTGTCACCCCAAATGTTCTTGGTTTGTGGAGGCACTTTCACATGGTACCCTTGCTTTGTCTCCGTATCTTGTCTCCTCTTTCATAAGGACCCCGGTAATAGGGAATTAGGGCCGCTGTACTCCACCCAGTACGGCCTGATGGTAACCTTACTGAGGACTTCTTCAGAGACCCTATTTCCAAACAGGCTTCCGTTCACAGGTACAGGGCCTGTGACTTCTACCTAGTCTTACGAAGACACAGTTCAGTCTGTAACACGATCCAGAACGTTGAGCCTCTGTTCTCTGCTGGACATCTTATACACGTATGTGTGCAAATGTACACACAAACTGCACACGCATATCTTAGCCTAGAAAAGTTTTGATTTTCTTGAAAACTGGATCACGAGCACACACACCTTTTTCCTTTCTAGATCCAGAATTCACAAGAGGCTACTTTTATATAACCAGCGCCCCAGAGTCTACTTAAAATAAGATCCAGTTTACTCACATGTGGCTGAGTGACACCCCCTTGGCAGGCTGAGGTAGAGGAAAGCTTGGTGGGGTTCAGAGTGGGGCAGAGCAGCCTGAGCCAGTGGGCTTTGGTCTCTGGGCCTCAGTTGTCTCTCTCCTCTGTAAAGTAAGGAGATTAATAGCACCAACCCAGTAAGTGTAGGGGAAGATGACCAGAAGTGTCTGCAAATGTTTTTTGTTTTGTTTTTTTTCTTTTTAAAGCTTTCTATTATGAATTGAGTGAAGACTCACAGAGCTGATCAGTTTTCCATTCTACAACTCATACACGTTTTGCTTCATGTCATTGACTGTAATGCCCAGTGTAATATCACACTTGCTGCTGCCTACCTGTGTTTCCTGTTTTCCATGCCTCCTCCTTTCCTTACCCTTCTGATCTCTGTCCTGGGGAAATGCTGCCTGTTTCCTCTCAAATTATTGATCATTTCAAGGAATACAGACCTCTCTAGTGTTGGTAATTTTATAGACCTGTCTATGGTTTGTCTGAAAATTGAGCCACAAAGGTGACATCATTTCTATACCTCAAGGCTGACCAAGGGCCATAGTGTTGGGGTTCCACCAGTCTCTTATCTCACCACTAAACCTGGCCTTTTTTTTTTTTTGAGTTTTGTTCCACTTTTTTCCCCACTCTATCCAGGACCTTTCTGAGTAGTTAGCAGTGATAGCCAGGCACCATCTAGTTCTACTGGTCTCAAGGATGTGTCTGCAAATGTTCTTGCTCAGTACCTGGCCCACCATTGGAGTCAATACTGCTAAGACCCTGGTTCAGACTGCTGACCTCCAGAACTGTGCGGCAATCAATTTATGTTTCTCCAAGCTACCTAGTTTATTGCTCCAGCAGCCTTAGGACACTAATTGTTGTTGTTAAGTACCGTGGAGTCAGTTCTGACTCATAGTGACCCTGCACACTAGTATAGGGTCCATTATGAGAGACTCGGTCCTTAGTGTCCTAAGGTTCCTGGGACAGCAGATCACAAGCTAGGTTGTCTGGAGACTTGAAGTCCTGGTGTGAGGCTATCAGCACTGGTCTGCTGACCACAGGTCTGCACTTCAAACACACCAGCCACTCCTTAGAAGCCCTATACAGGATTACTATGAGTCGAAACCGACTTGATGGCACTTAATTACAAACAATAACATGGGATCCCGGGTTCGATTCCAGCTGAAATGTGCCGTATATGCAGCCACCCCCGTCTGTCAGTGGAGGCTGCTTGTGTGTTGCTGGGATGCTGAACAGGTTGCAGCAGAGCCTCAGACTAAGACAGAGGAAGAAGGAAGGCCTGATGGTCTACTTTTGGGAAGCAGCCGCCGAAAGTCTTGTGGGCCACAACAGATCGCAGGACCGGGCTGTGCTTTGCTGTGTTGTACATGAGGTCATCGGGGCTCTCGGGCCAACTTGATGGCCACTACCAACAGGAAATGAGGATCTAGTCATGAATGTGGCACCACAGTTACCAAGTTGACCACCCACGTGTAGCCTGGTAAACTGGCATGCAGTAATTACTTAGGACATGCTTGCCAGTGTCTTTGTCACACCCAGTTTTACCAAAAAGGTCATGATCCCAGCATCTACAGGCAACTATGAGTCTCTGAACCCATGCAAGAGGACCCAGGTCAAAGGCACATGTGCCCCGACCAGCTAGCTCTGTGTGAAAAGACAAACTGGATTGCTGTTACCAATACCCAGTTTACACTCTTCCTTTTTTTTTGCTTCTTCTTCTTCTATTTAGTGTGAAGAATTCCAAACATGCCGAACAATGAAGAGAAGAGTATAATGAGCCCCCATCTGCCCACTGCCTAGGTTTTGCTGACCTTCCTGCCACACTAGTTCACCTGTTTTCTAAATGTGTGACATTTTTTAACAAGGCCCATGCATATTTAGTTCTTAGGTAGCTTCAGTTTCAGGGTATCTTCAATAGTCTGTCTTTCCCTTCCCCTTCCCTCTTTGTAATTTAATCTAGGTTTGTATTGATATTAGTTTGTTGAAGAGACTGAACTGATTGGCCTGTAGAACATCCTACCTTCTGTGGTAATGTGTTGCTCTCTCCCATTCATTTCTTGTCCTGAGGAAGTCTCTGTCTCAAGGCTTGATGAGGTTCCGGTGAAGTGTTTGTGGCATTCTTGTTGCCTCATAACCAGGTACTTAAGATGTCAGGTTTCCCTACCCAGAATGCTGCCTTAAGTGTTCTCTGAAGATTTGGGGCCCAGGAGGCCACTTTCAGCCCATAGCCACCCTTCATACTCAAGCTTTCAGCCAAACAATAGATAGGCATGTAAGATGAACAGTAACACCAGGGAGGTACACACACCTTATAACAGTCAGCCATATGAGATCATAAAGACAGCATTGTCTGGGAAGAAAGTTCAGAAAAGGGAGGAAAGAAGGATGAAGAGAAAAGGGAGACACAAGCAAGTGGGAAGAGTGCTGTTACATGGTAGGATTGCAGTCAATGACATGATACAAAATGTGTATGAATTGTTGAATAGAAAACCAATTTGCTTTGTAGACTTTTACCTAAATCACAATAAAAGTTTAAAAAAAAAAAAAAATGCCACTGTCTCTAACCGGCTGCCTCCAAACATAGGATGGCTGCATTGAGCTCTCCTCATGAGCCACAAGGGAGAGGTTAGACCAGTTCCTAGAATCCTCTGCCTCACAGGATGTGTGAGGCCCTGGCTGCAGTCAGCTCAGAAGTCTCAGGAATGGGAAATACCCAGACCCCTCCAAGGAGAGCTTCTGGTGCTGCGGCTCGGCTCGGAAGCCGAGTGCCCCGCCCGCCTTTCTGCAGCCCATGGTTTCACCGGTGCTTCTCTCTCCCCATGTAGATGACAACAGCAACCAGAGTTCCATAGCAGATGCCTCCCCCATCAAACAGGAAAACAGCAGCAACTCCAGCCCTGCTCCAGAGCCCACCTCGGCCGTGCCCGGCGATGGTGCCGAAACCAAGGCGGATGAGGCCCAGGCCGATGGGAAGGAGCACCCCGGGGCCGAAGGTATGTGCCCCTCCAGGGCGGGCCTTAACCTGGCCTCCTTTCACCCCGAGGCTTGGCCAGTCACTTCCACCCATGGCCCTGTGCCGGCCCCAGTAAGGTGACTGACTATAGGAGAAAGCTCATGTTCTCATGGGGGCCGTTCCTGTAGTCCAGTATCTGGAAAATGAATGCTGTGGAGTTTTAAAGATGGGGAAGGAGGATGGGGGGGGTCTGCTGAGTACGGAATTAATTGCACTTTAAGTAGGGTGGTCAGAGAAGGTGACATTGGAACAAACAAGGCTAAAATGAGAGAGCGAACCATGTGGCTATGTGGGAGGAGAGAATTCTGGGCAGATAGATGTGCTGGGCTGGGGAAGGGTGAATGAATGACTCAAAGAGGCAGATGAGGTTGGGAGCGTGAGGAGCTTATAAGGCCACGGCAAGGCCCTAGGCTTCTGTGCTGAGATGGTGCCACTGGGGCTTGAGGGGCAGGATCTGAGGGATCGCTGTGGTACTTGTGATTGAGAAGAGACAGTAGAGGGTTATAGGGGAAGTGAGGAGCTCAGTGCTGGGAGGCTGCTGCGTACTGTTGTCCCCGTGAGAGAGGAGGGCCCCTTGAGCTGAGACGGGAGCAGAGGAGCTATTGAGAAGTGGTCAGACTCTGTGTGTGTGTTATGCATGCATTCTGAGGTCTCTAGACTATTGGAGCCCCGGTGGCACAGTGGGTAAGTGTTCGGCTGCTAATCAAAAGGTCGGCAGTTCAAACCCACCAGCCTCTCCTCAGGAGAAAGATGAGACAGTGGCTTTTGTCGAGATTTCCAGCTCCTGAAACTATGGAGCAGCTCTGCTCTGCCCAGTAAGATCGCTGAGTCAGAATCATCTCAACGGTGATGGGTCCGGTTTTTGATTTAAACTCTTTTAAATGAAAAATTTCAAATATGCAGAAAAGCTAAAAGAATAGTTTAATATCCTTCTGTATACCCATCAGCTGGATTCATCAATATTGCTTTGTTAAAAAAAAAAAATTTTTTTTTTTTTTCTGGACTCATTTGAATGTAAATTTTAGACGGCATAATGTGATACCCTGTACCTTTTACAAATAGAGATATACTCAACTATACATGCCACCGGCACAACTAAGAAAATGTATGCTAACTCCCATTTGTCTGGAGCGCAGATGTGTTGTGTGGATAGAGGGGAGGGTGTGTTTGCACAGATTATCCATGGGCTGTGCGCACCTGAAGGACATCATTGGGTCACTGAGAAACGTTCCAGAGCCGTCAGCTTTGTCCAGGGCTCAGTTGAATGTAACATCTGAAGCTCACGGGCCAGGGGAGGGTTCGAAGCTGAGGATATTAGTTTGATGTGTCATTGTGCTACCTACTGTGCTGGGGAGAGGCACTCAGCCCAAATTAGGGGTGCTAGTGTTCAGAGAGCAAGTCCACCTCACACTCCGTCCGATCTTCTCCCATACACATCTCGCCTCCCGTCCTGCACAGAGCTCTGTCTCTCTGCGGAGGGCCATTCAGTTTCCAGTGTTTTTTATTTTATGCCCTCCATCCTTGTACACAAGTTTCTGCATCTTTGCACAGGCATGGGTGGACCCAGGGACGTGGTCCTGGAAGCAGAGGGTGCATGCCTTGCGATGTTAGTTGATCCTGCCACATTGTCTGCTATGGAGGCTGTTGGCAGGATGACTGTCAGCTTGTACTGAATTTTTCAGCCTTGGTTTGGGCTGCATCATTGTTTGCTGCGGAGTTGCTTTGTCGTATGTATTATAGGATGTTGAGCTGCTTCCCAGGCCTCCTCTCAGCTCTTGCCTTTGTCCACAACGCCACCTCTCGCGTTCGATCCAGTGCCCTGTACCTGTACAGCCACCTTACACAGTGGAAACTGGGAAGCCTGATGGGCAGGCTGTCGCTGTTGGCCACTGTAAGGGACACTAGATAAGAGCTCATGCCTGTCTTCACCCTCCTCCCTGAGGGGCCTGGACAGGCATTTCCTCATTTACAAACTGCCTCCTTTGTCCAGCTGTTGCAGCAGTAGAAGAGGCAGGAAAGTTAACTCAGCCAATCCTGGCTCCTGGGACGGGGTTCCTGGGAGCAAGCAGGGTGAGGCCTTCTCAAGCTGACTGCGGAGGCCACGCCTTCTACATCACAGCTGCTTTCTCCCCTCACCTCTCGCTGCCCCTGGTCTCAGTTCTCACACGTTAGGGGTCTGAGTCTCCTTTGGCTAAAAGGACAGACAAAGCTCAGTCACAGGACCTAATGCTTCGGCTGAATGTTGCCATAGTCCCCACACTGGTCACTGTCATCCCCTATCCCAAGGTCCAGGCGCCACCAGTCTTCAGTCAGCTGTCCAGGACTCAACACCCCACATGGGTGCCCAGCTCAGGCAGGGCTGGTGGGCTGCCCAAGCCCATGTGGGAAGGAATGGGAGCCAGCTGACCTGGTCTTGAACTTGTTTACTGTGGAATCAGTTCAGAGGGTGACATCATGTCCGAGTTCCCAGGACTAAATTTAGGCCTCAGGAAAGTCGTTTTCCCTGGGTGTGTTCCAGTGCCCTAGCGACAAGCGAGCTCTGTGGGCTCACAGCCCTGTTTCCAGCTAGTTCTCAGCCAACTCGGGCTCAGCCTGGAACAGCGAGGGTCTGCTCTCGGGCCGTCAGCACCTTCAGGCCCTCGTCTGCATCTCCTGACTCTCTCTCTGCTTTGCAGACAGTAT